CCCAATGAAAAAGGCCCCCCCCCCCCCCCTTGTCTACTTCATTCAAGAAAAACGCGATTTTTTTCACGCATAATTTACCCCGCATACCGAGAGAAGAATGAGGGGAGGAAGGAAGAAAAATGAACGGGGAGAATTCCTCGCCGGTTGCGCGTCTCTTCTACATGTCCCGCTCATCTGCAAAGTGAGACGGAGCGTTGAGGGACTGTCGTCTGGGTCGTGACGTCACGGAAACAGTATTTTTTTTTCAGGGATAGTGCCTTAGCGCGATGCGCATTTTGGCTGAACGATTTCTTCCACTTGTTACCCTTGCATCTCGATGCCTCAGCCCATTTCTAATCCGACTTATGGACCTTAATGGATTAAGGTCTATAAGTTGGATTGCAACTGAAACCGAATTTCAACTTTCCAAATCCAAGATTTCCTGAAGCTGAATTTCGCGAGCGGTTTCGGGTCCGGACAAGACAACCGGGATCTGGATACCTTCACGAGAAACGTTTGATTGAAGTCGCTCCGTTCCCGTCGGAGCATTTGGGTCCTCTCTCTGACCCTTTCGCTCTCTCGACTCGAAACGGGAACTGCAGCTTTCGCTCACTAGCACAGATGTCGCGGGAGTGCTTTCTCGCGGGCGGAGGCCGATCCAGAGAAGCATGAGATTTCTAGCAGAAGGGAAAAAATCGACTTCAATCGGCAAGGAGTGATATAAAAAGAGTTGGAGAGCACGGGAGGTTCATATCGTGTTCCGTTCGTGACGTGCGGGACATCTCGAAGCTTTCTCCTGTCTGTGCTAATGCCACCTTCGTGTGTTCGCTTCGTGACGGAAAACGGGGACACCCATCTCCCGTGATTCACTGTCATACCGGAGCGAAGGGGGAAAAGGAATATATGAAATGATGGGAAGAATCATCGATTGCAGGGGGGAGGGGGGATATATGTGTCCTTTGGAATCCGACCTTCTTGGAAGAAAGAAGCCGTTCTTGAAATCCGAAGATGCGATCCGATCCCTCTCTATTGCGTCTGTGCTTCCTGCCGTCAAAAGACCGACCTGTCTCGCCGAGTTCGCTAAACGAGGTTTTGTGGAAGTGGATTCTTCGGTCGGATGCCTCATCCCATTCCTACCGAGGGAGCTTTTATTCCGCTGCATCCGCGCGTGGCTGCCGCATCCTAATGAGAACTTCCTGCTCGGCTTTGCGAGCTCCTATGTGCTCGCTCTTTCGTCCCAATTACTTCATGAAAAGAGTTCCCGAGAGATGACGATGTGATGATCGTCGCATGTTTTCACTGCATCCAACTGCAGGAAGCGAAGGGAAGCGTCTCGCTTGTTGGGAAGGGCAGCAGCAGCCTCGAAGGTCTGGACCGAACGGGCAGGGACTCCCGGCTCCGTCCCCGTCCTTCTTCCCTTCTGCCTCGCCAGTCGGGTTCCATGCGGGAGGTTCCACCTCCCGCTTCTCCCGGCCCAGTCCAAGGGCGGCGTTCGAGAGCGAGCCGACGCGAACGCACTCGACGGCTGCATCTTGAGTAGACCAATTTACTCGTAAATTGGTCTACTCGCAGTACTGAAAAGCATTTTTTTTAAGAGGCAGACACAAACGACAAAAGGCCTATTACAACACACAGAGAGAAAGGGATTGCCCCCTTGACCATTCCCTCCTTGGCCACCACATCCGTATCACAGTCCCTCAGGCCTATAGGAGGAACAAAGGGTCATCTAAGCCCCAGACTGGTACGAGTGATCTTTAAGGTGAACTGCACCCGTATCTCCTAGACGTGGCNAAAAAAAAAAAAAAAAAAAAAAAAAAAAAAAAAAAAAAAAAAAAAAAAAAAAAAAAAAAAAAAAAAAAAAAAAAAAAAAAAAAACAATTCCAGCCCTGGATACTCGTTTTCCTGCCGGGAATTCCCGCTCGTCACATCCCGACTTCTCTCCTCACCGAAAGGGAAAAAAAAAAATCTCGGAATTCCTGCCCGACAGACCGAACGGCAAAAAGAAGGAAACCGTCCCGTCATCCTCCTCTTCCTCCCTTCTGGTTTTTCCCCTCCATTTTTTTTCTCATTCGGGACGAGCCAGTCTCGAGAGTGAAGTGGCTTCGACACCCCGAGTGATTTTTCACCGCTCAAGTAAGGATTGGTATTGAATGCGGTCCGGTATTTTAATACTGGTATTTAATATCTGTATATAATATTTTTTAAATATAATATTGCTTTTTAATGCTGATATTTAATGTTGATCTGCAATATTGGTATTTAATATCGGTCTGCAATATTGGTATTCGATATTGGTATTTAATACTGGTATTGAACGAAACTTCAGTCCCTGTTGAATTTGCATCGGCTGTGTTTTCTCCTCGCTGCAATTTGGAAATCGATTGGCAAGTTCCGTTCTTAAACTCGAGGTCATCCCACGACGACCTCGAGGTCACCGAGGGATGACCTCGAGGTCATCCCACGAGACCGCCTGCTTTTCGCTAATGGAAATCGCTCGATCGCGAGGCAAAGAGACTCGACGAAAAGAGAACGACCAGTTTCGTCGGGTCAACATGGAGTCGAGAAGAAGCGGAGTTCGTCCCGTTTCACACCGAGAAAAAATCAACCGAGTCCAAATTTAGTATCGTGCTAGTATCGGTACTCGAACGAAGGTACTTTTCGGCAAAGAGGAATTTTTCATTCGTATCAGTGAGCCTTTTTCCAGTGCAGCTCGAATGAGGTCTGCCCCGTCCGGATGCGACCCCCGGCTAGTACCAGTAAGAGTACCAGTAAAAGTACCAGTAAGAGTACCAGTAAGAGTACCACTGCACCTAGATGAGACTTTTTCGGCAGGGAACCACGACGACTCATACTCATTTCTCACTTTCTGAAGAGTGCGCGTCGTTTGAACTCGGTGTTGGGGAGTCAGGGCACTGTGGTAGGGCGTGGTGAATCCCCACAAACTTATTGGAGGCTTTGGAATTGTCATGCGCTACGTTTTTTCGAGGGAGATCTTCGTATTTTGGGAGGGGGAGACTACCGTGCGACGAGGTCCAGGTAGTCCGGGTAGTCCGGATAGTCGGGGTAGTCCGGGTAGTCCGGGTAGTCCAGGAAGGGGAGGTTAAGGGACTCAAACCCCCCCCCCCCCCATGCCCCCCTCTGGGTGTGGGGGCGTGACGCCTTTGAAATGATAGGAGACGCACCTGCAACTTCTGGGACGGGTGCACACTCCGACTTCATCGTCGATACGTGACAATTTATTTCTCTCGATTCCGCTTCGGTCGAGTCGCAAGGAATCCGTGACTTTTCCGAGTCGGCATTTAACCTTTTTTTCCGGCTCGCATGGAGCCATGGGAATTCGTACGGCTCCCGAAAGACTCCAAGTACTGAGGACTACCGAGGACTTCTTCCGTACTTCTAAGTTCTGACGAAACTCTTCGGCGAAATCCTCTGTCCACGAAGAGGAGAGACGATTTGCGGTCGAGTCCTGCCGGCCTGTTTCCCCTTTCGTCGTCCGAACGACGAACGTTTGCTTCATCGCCGAACACTTCTCGTGCCGATAGATCCTGGTTAATCCTCGCAAACTTAAAAAATATATATATACTTTCGTCACGCTTATAATGGCCCCAACAGCCGGATGTCTACTGCGCATGCGCGGCCCGGAGCCCGAGGCGGGATGCCCGCGGCTCCCTCGAGTCGACGGGAGGCCGCCTTCTCGAAGGAGAAGGGAGCGCGGTCATTCCAGGCCGTAACAGGCGCGCCTCGCCTTTCGTGAGCGGTCTCGATGCCTTGGCAGCTTCACCTCCCATGGAGACTCGTGACGGCATCGGAGGGGAGGCAACAGTAACATTCATTTTGAAATATCAGGAGGGAAATCGTGGAGCAAACTCGAACCTTATCACTCGATGCTTACTCGATACTAAATACTTTTCTGCCTCAGTGAGAAATCCTTTCCTCAGAGAAGGAGGATCTTTAGGAAGAAGCGCCCGCTTGCGGGAATGGATCAGGTCCAGAAGGCTTCATACATGACCTTTTGTTCGGCCGGCGTCTGCATTGGGCCGGTACTGGTACTGGCCGGTACTGGTCGCTGTACGCGATAGGCTGGAGGGCCCCATCGCGATGCGGGTTTCTGCATGAGCGGCCGGGATGTCGACGTAGCAATGCAGAGCACTTGGTATTCTTCCAGACTTCATGGCTAGACTTCGTGGTCAGACTTCATGGCTAGACTTCGTGGTCAGACTTCATGGCTAGACTTCGTGGTCAGACTTTATGGTCGAACTGAGAGCCAGGTTGCACATGCCAGCGGGGACGCGGCTGTCAGTCGAACTCACGACGCATCACATCTGGCAACACTGCATATCGTACTTTCATTCCATCTTCCAACTTGACCTTGCAGGCATTGAGCCGTGAGAGAAGCGGCTGTCGTCGCGGCGAAACGCAATGGGATGGCTCGACGGTTTTTTAAATCCATCTCTCGAATTCGGGGGAGCACTTCTTCCTTGACTCCTGAAGGACTTTTCCGTTTCCTTTTCCATTCTGGTGAGAACTACGTGAAGGGCGTGAGCATTTCTTTGGGGGAATCTCGTCGGTCCCACGAAGTCCAGAACCGTTCCCATGCGTGCGAGCCGGTTCCGAACGATCGGCTGGAAGTTTCGGACCTGACCTCATCGTTTCGCGGCAGACCGACTGCATTCTCGCTCGAAGCGAAAATTTAACATCGGCAAAGAAGCGACCATGAAGCCAATGAGACTCTACTGAGCTGCTGTGACCTCCTCCTCTTTCTCCTCCTCCTCCTCCTCTTCCTCTTCCTCCTCTTCCTCCTCCTCTTCCTCCTCCTCTTCCTCCTCCTCTTCCTCCTCCTCTTCCTCCTCCTCTTCCTCTTCCTCCTCTTCCTCTTCCTCTTCCTCTTCCTCCTCTTCCTGCAGATGGACCGAGTGGCTCTCACCAGCTGGCGCTGCGATCGCCCGGCTGAGTCACGGCGAATCGTCCGTGCCGTGTAATGCGAACCGGAGGAATTCCTCGGAAGTACCGACTGGAGCGAGTGGGAGTGAGCGGCCGTGTCATTCACGGCTCTCTTGCCCTCCGAGAGAGAGAAAAGGCCCTTAAGGACATCCAAGGACCCATCGAGAGAGGAATTGGATCTCGACGGACCGATCGGATCCTTAAGGCGAAGCCATTCCTCGGACTTTCCAAGCCGGCCACCCGGCAGATGACCGCGAGGCCGCACGCGCATGGCTCCAGCCGGACGCGAGGCGGGAAGTTACATAGGACCGTTTCGGTCGGACTAGTACTCTCTGCCGACCTAGCATATTTCTCACCATATTTCTGCATATATTTTACGTTTAATTTATAAATTTGGAATGGAGTCGTCCAACGAACTGTTGATGTCAAAGTCAAATGTGCTTCCTTTCATGCCTTGGACATTTTTTCGCTCTGAGTCAAATTCAGGGGCGGATCCAGGGCGACCGTCCTGACATCTGACGAGCAGCTTGGACATTAAGTCGGCCCCCGCGGCAGAGTCGAAAGACCAACGCGAAGGCAGACCCGAGTTCAATGTCGGCCCACCGACTCCACGTGTGGAAGTCCACCGACTCCACGTGTGGAAGTCCACCGACTCCACGTGTGGAAGGCCCAATCGCCTCGCACCTGCACGGTCTCTCCGGGCATCGCGCGTGGACACCCGGCGAGGTCGCACGGTCGACTTCGGCGTTCGTCGGCGCATTTCGCGCTGTCATTGCGGTGCAGGCCCAGCGGGGAGAAGTTCCACCAAAGACCTTTCACCTTCCACCAAAGACCTTTCACCTTCCACCAAAGACCTTCCACCTTCCACCAAAGACCTTTCACCTTCCACCAAAGACCTTTCACCTTCCACCAAAGACCTTTCACCTTCCACCAAAGACCTTTCACCCTCCGCCTTAGACCCATGGAGCCCACGTTATAAGCCCTACGAATTCCTTTGCCGGCCATTAAAATCCACGTTAAAATCTTTGAAATGGGCGAAGGCATTCCCCACGAGTGCGTACTTCAATAAATGGGCCTCTGAGTGGCTAACCTCCAGGTGGCTGACCTTCGTGTGACTTACCTCCAGGTGGCTAGTGTCTCGCATCACATTTTTTACTGGAAAAATGTGAAATTCCTTCGGGTCTCTTTGGCTCTTTCTCCTCGAGAAATGAAAGGAATTGAAGGGGGAAGACTCTTAAATCGGATTCCTTTCCCCAAGGGAAACATTTCCGTCGGCGATTCCGTCGGCGATTCCGTCGGCGATTCCGTCGCGTGAGAAAGCGTCCAAGCACGTTCGAGTTCCTCTCGGAGCTTCACGTGCACCGCGCCAGATGTCTCTCGCGTCGGACGAGGGACCCACTCCGCACCTTGACTCTCACCGAAAAGAGAATCGAGGGGAGATCTGCACTTCCCCAAAGAAAACCTCCGACTCGGTTCCATTTTGGAGCGAGTTCTCTGTCCGTGCTTACTCACGAGGGGACGCTTCAAATAACTCTCGTCATTCGTCTTAAATATTAAAAAAAAAATTCGCAGCAAAAAAATTCGCAGCAAAAAAATTCGCAGCCGATGCAAAAATTTCCGTTTACGAAACCGAAAAGTTTGAAAGCGAGAAGTCTTGTTTCTCCGCAGGATGAAGAGAACGAGTCCCACCCTGGCGCTCCTATTCCTGCTCCTCGCGGTCCAGGCCCTCGCGATCCAGGCCCGCGAGATCCAGGCTCAGCGATCGGGGACGAACGCGACCCGCACGGAGGAGAAAGGAACGGCGGAGGCCTCCCGCTGCAACCTGTTCGGGAGGCAGTGCCTCGTCCCGAACGCGGCCGGGATGTCGACGGCCCTCGCCGGCTGCACGAGCGACTCCGACTTCACCTGCTGTCTCTGTCTCGCGAAGATGGTGTTCCTCATCGTGGTCGCCGCGGTGCCCATCACGATGGTCGCCGCGCTCCTGGCCACCGTCTCCGATCCCCTCCCCCGATCGCATCTCGAATCGTCTCAATAAAAGATTTCGCTTGCGAATCGGACGTCGAGGGACCGGCAGTGACGTCACCACCGGATGCCGTCTTCCGATTGGATCCTTCAGAAACGAACCGACCAATGAGAAGCACGTTCGGCGCTCATTCGCACCGAACGACCGATCGGACGACCCGTGCTGACGCCACTCCAACCCTCTTGCCTTGTATCTCTCTGAAACTCGTCAAAATAAATTCAGACCTAAAAAAAAAAAATTTATTGGCGTGCCGATCGACTCGGTTCGAATTAAACACGAGCAAAGCGACAAGTCCAGACGTCCATTACGTCCAGACGTCCATTACGTCCAGACGTCCATTACGTCCAGACGTCCATCACGTCCAGCCGACCTGCGAAACACCTGCAACTCGTTGCCATCGACCGGCCTCGACGACGAATCCCCCGAGAATCTCCAGAACGCAGCGATTTCTCCGCTTCGAGTTTTTTATTTTTTTCGTCCATAATTTCTCCCGCATGCCGACGTAGGAGAACCTCGAGAGGGAAACGAGGGAGAGAGAAAGGCAACTCGACGAGGATGACGAAGAGGATTCCGACCCGGTTGCGTGTCTCCTCTCGGCGACCCTCCTCGCCAGTCTCCGGTGCTTTCCCCTCAAGCGAACGTGAGAGAGGCGGCCTTCCTCGAGCGTGTCTTTCGAAGGTGAGTGGCCGAGGGATCGCCGAGGGATCGCCGCGGGATCGCCGAGGGATCGCCGCTTCCCGTGACGAATGTTTCCGCCTTTCTCATCGATCTTCTTCGCGGCGCATAATTTCGGAGTTCGGTCCTTCCGCCGTCTCGTGATCTCGGGATGATGGAATTAGGACGCGAAACTTGAAGACGGCGCCGAGACGGTGAGGCTCGAGGGGGGACCAATGCTCGAGGGGGGACCAACGCTCGAGAAACGAAGGAAAGCCAAGGTTAAAAGGAGAATAGGTCTGCGGCGAACCGTCGGCGGAGGCGAGCGATGGGCGCGATCGCGCGACGCGATGGATCGCGAGCGGGGCATGGAGGTCGCGCGACCGGCCGGTTTTCGCCCGTGCGGAAGCTCCACCCTCTGCAGGTGGAGAGAGGAAGGGGTCGCCCGAATCCCCACCTGCCTTCCAAGGTCTCATCCGATCGGTGACGAGAGCGTGACGACTATTTTTTTAATTTGGGGCCACTAGTGGTGCTGCTTGGACCTTTCGATGCGGGAGGGAGGGGGGCAGGGGGGGGCAGGGGGGGGGAAGGGGGGGGGGGGGGGGGGGGGTTATTCTGTCGATAGTATGCAGAATGGATGGAGTACAAAACACAAAAAAGGACTCGAGGAGACGGAAAAGCTTTAACGTTGAGTCCCCGTCGGTGGAAAACAAAGGAAAACTTTAAGTTATAAAACCATTATACTCCGCTTTTGCAAAATTGCAATTTCCTTTTGAATAATTTGCACCGATATGTACAGGTTCGTGCCATGAAGCATGGACACCTGGTGCACCTCGCCTGGATCCTCGGACTCTTCTCTCCACTCGGGATCGCCTTCGTCGAGGGAAAGGGCCTTTTCAGACCAAACCAAGGTCAAGGTCAAAGTCAAGGCCCGTTGATCGGCCTCGGCCTGATCGACCTCGCGACGTCCTACTTCTTCTGCGTCCCCTGCGCCAAGGACAACTACCTCGGCATCCTCCTGAACGCCCTCGTCTGCATCGACGAGCGGGACGTCACCTGCTGCCTCTGCTACGTCCAGGCCCTCATCCCCATGTATCAGAGCCTTCTCGGCCAGAATAACACGGCCAGGCTCGATGGGATCGCGCGGCGAGTGTTCAGGCGGGCAGAGTTGGAGGCTCCGCGCGCTTCGGCTTCCCCGAGTGTTTCGTGATTCATCATTGCTTGGCTTCGGTCGTCGTGACGTCTGGATGTGTAACGCAGGGATTTAATTTTGCTGGGTTTTGGAGGTTCGCGTTTTCTCAGACTTCAAAAATTTTTTAAATATTTTTTGAGTGATTAATGGGCATTATTGAAATTTGCTGGAAGATCCATTTGGAACACTTTACGAATGACAAGTTACCGGAAAATTGTTCGCAGTCACTCGATTCACCTTGTATAAAATATCACCCGCTTTGTGTATTTGCAAAGAAAGCCAATTGCCCTTCATAAGGCATTTTTTTTTGTCCATCGTGTGAATAAAAACGCCCAAAAAAGGCGTTTGCAAAAAAAAAGTCCGTTTCTCATCTGGTATTTCTGCAATCCGACCTAGACCCATTGTGGGCATACTTTCGGCGTGCATAATGAAAGTCGGCTCGAGTAACTTTGTGCCACATATTTTATTTTGATATCATCTCTGAAAATTTTTGTCTTTCGAACGTCTCCTTGCAGCCACGCTCACATGATCCAAGCACTATGGTTTCGTCGTGAGAGAAAAAAAAGAAAGAGAGACAGGGACCCTAAAAGGAGCGCACAGGTCAATCAAATAAATTATATACACACACTTTTCTCGTTTTCCTTTGTTTTCCACCGACGGGGACTCAACGTTAAAGCTTTTCCGTCTCCTCGAGTCCTTTTTTGTGTTTTGTACTCCATCCATTCTGCATACTATCGACAGAATACCATGCCTTTTTATTTTTATACGAATGTGTGCATAGATCATCCCTGCTTAGCACCGATTGTTTCCAGATTCCGAAACTCTGATTGAGACGGCAATGAACGCCGACGATGGCGACGATGACGACGAGGGAGCTACGAAGCGCTACGCTTTGCCTCACGCACGCACACGGCGCTTTGCCTCACGCACGCACACATCACGACCAGATCCGGCCGCTTGCTTCCCGCAACCAGCCGCATTCAGCAAGAAATAAAATCTTTGGTTCTGGAATTCTCACAGATAAAAAGGAGAGAGAGAGGGGGGCAGAGAAAGTGTGAATTTCGCGCATACCGGTGTCTTTCTTGAATTCATCAAGAGAGAACATGAAATAGAAAAGAAGGGGAAACAAAAGAAATATCTTTGTACTTCTGAGACAAGATGAACGCCGCCCCTCGGTCCAAGAGGATCCTTCTCGATGGCCTGCAGCGTTCTGCAAAAAAAAAATAACACACAAAAATAAATTAGGAAAACCAAGCAACAAAAGTACACATTTAAAATACAATGGCTTCATCCCCATGCTTCCCCGTTTTCAACTCTAATGAAATATTGCTTCATGTTTTCAACAAATCATGGGTCGAGTCACACAAATGCCGAGGACCAATTTGTTTCCCTAGAACTGGCAACGTCGGGTTTTTTGAGACAATTCAGTCCAGACTGTTTTAAATGAACAATCTGCTCACCAGCCACTGTTACCACTGCCAATTCGAATTTCAACTGAATATTGCTACACAGAAGATTGAATAGACAGACGCTGCTGATGAGCATGAAATACGCAAACTCATGAAATACGTCAACTGTTTTCATGGCAAGAAATCCATAACATTTTCGATTTTTATGAGTACTTTGGCATAGTCAACATAAGGGCCATTTTCCTCATGCCCTTGCAAAAACGAAAGGTTGGGAATCCCCGCTTGATAGGCAAGAGACAAGAACATACCAGGAGTCAAAGAGAGAGAGGAGGTCATCGTTGGTCGTGTGGGTCGTGGAGGGGAAGGAGGAGAATCCACCCGGTGCATTCCCGTTGGAGGACCCGCCGCTCGAAGGCGGGGTCGCCAGGTCTGGCCTCTCCAAACAAGAGATTATGTCCCATGGATCCACATCATTGTCTGGAAGCAACTGCAGAAAAAGGAGAGGGAATCGTAAACGCTGTGATGGTTAATAGATTCTTCGCTCATTCCCTCTGAAACTTGAAGACCAATAATTCCAAATAATTCGTCTTCTTTTCCGCCATTCAATTCTGAGTCATTCATTTGCCCTGTATATCAGATGTGCATTCAAAAATTGATCTACAGAACTTACACAAATCGTATTTGTCCAATTAAAATCATTGCCAGAATTGCCCAATGAATCAATATTTTGCATTATTTTGTCATCATTCAATTTTTTGTATTATCTAGTTATGAAAGTCAAAATAATATGCAGTACACAACAGTGAGCCCCTGCTAACCATTTGAAAAGTCAGAGCTTGAGCAATTATGATTATTTCCTTTTTTAAACCTTCAAAAGGGAACATCAGACAGGTCTAATTTCAGATATGTGCTACAAATGAAATCACTTGCAGTGACTTTCATTATCACACTGGGTGATGCTGAAGACAGCCTAGACCAATTAAATCAGCACTGGCATCAGATCTAGCAAACTTTGATAGGAAATATCCAGAACACCAACCTAAATTTCATATCAATGTAAAATCAGAATAAAAGATACCCTGATAATGTGAAGCCCTGCTAGTTGCTGATTGACTTAGTTTATTCGCTGAATGCAAGATGCTCATGCAAGATGTAGGATGGTTCTCACATTAAGTTCCTCTTGTCCTTGACCTTCACCATCGATGACAGCCGCAGGATCAAAATGGAGATCAGACGCGAATACATAAGGGTCCGACGCAGGCGCAGATGACATGACAGGGACCGGTGTGTGGGGTGTATTTGGTGTATGTGGCGTGTGGGGGGTCTGTGGGTTTCCATGCATTTGCTGAAAAGAAAGCAATCCACATTGTATTACACCTTCCAAGCAGGTACTCCTGAAACTCAACTATAATAACATAAATAAATTAGGTCCATTACAACAATAGATAAAAAGAGTTAAGGGCCAGGAGAAGTCAAAAGTTATTTCCATTAAACAAATCACTGGAAACTCCATTGGCAAAATTAAAGTGCCTGTATTGAACCGTGTCACAATATTCTTACCAGTGTGGGTTAGCAAATAGCTTCACTATTTTAGACATGAAAAAATCAATAGTGCAATAAAGGTCAATGACCCTTTCAATACAGCAGAAACCCAAGAATGAAATATTCACTGCCCTGGCAATTGTTTGGCAGTAAACAAATCAAGAAATATTTCATTCTCACACATGAGACTTGCTTTGTGTATACAATGCATCAAGGTAACTTCTAGGCTTACTCTCAAAACTGGGCATGTGGGCCTTCACCATCAGCATATTGCCATGGAATATACTCCTACAGAGCAATAGATGGTAAGGTGGCTTACCTGGTTGGATGGAGGTGCAGGGGTGGCAACACTTGTTGTGGTTGTGGTGGTGGATGAAGATGACGAGGAAGAAGAGGATGAGGATGAGGAGACGGGTGGAGTGGCTGTGGACATCCGGTTGGAGAGGAACTGTTCGTTCAGTGTCTTCTCCATTGCATTCAGGGGGTTCAGCTGATTCACGCTTTCACTCAGTTGCGACAGGGGGCCTCCACCGTAGCCCGAACCTCCATAGCCTCCAGGCGTCATCAGTGAACCATTATTTATGCCTGCAAAAAAGAAGGCAACACAGTCAGATGTGCACAAAATCAACTCCCTAGTCCAATAAGACTGTATGCTCTCCAAACAAGTGAAAACTTAACATGAAAAGTTTATCATGACATGTAAATTTCACATTAACAAAAAGTTAAATTTAGTAAGATACTGTTGGTAGAAAAATAGGTCTTAAACGTTTTCCTCTCATCATCTTTCCACACATTCCAGATTCACTTCTTGAAAATCTGCACTTCTGCCTAAAGTCTGTCAAAGACTACACAGAAAAATCACATTGCAAGACACATGTGAAATTAGTTATTGGTAAAAGCAGCACAGTCTCCACAAGTGAAATCCTACAAAACTGTTTTCAAAAGTAAAAAATGTCAATTTTTGGAAGTACATCCAACTCACAGAGCCTACGAGGTGTGGCTATTATGTTTCCAGACTGGTTTTATTGCTGAACTTTGAGAGAGAGGAGGGGAGTGGGGCTATGGCAGTAACATGGAGGGGAGTCTTAGCTTATTGCTGGGCAAGTTTCAGTGTGGTCTGACCAGCGCGCTGCGAGCTGCGGCCAGTTAAGGTAGACCGTATTTGTTTGCGCTGGCGGATTTGAAATGGAGCATAATCTCGAGCAGAGAACTAACGTCAAATTTTGTGTTAAACTGGGAAAATCCGCAACTGAAACGCTCGAAATGTTAAGAAAAGTTTATGGTGATCATACTATGTCAAGAGCGCAAGTTTTTTTGTGGCATAAAAGGTTTAAAGAGGGAAGAGAAGACGTCAATGACGACCAGCGTTGTGGAGCGCCAATCACCAAACGAACACCTGAAAATGTCTCAAAAGTTACGGATTTAGTGCGTTCAGACAGGCGGTTGACAATTAGAATGATAGCAGAAGAGTTGAATTTAGATAAAGAAACTGTTC